AACCAACCAGCTTGCTGCAGGAGCCGCGTGCACCTAGGGCGATACCCTATCAGAATGTGTCCGGCAGCGCGTGACAGCTCAGCAGCCGTATATAAGCCGAGCTTTGAAAGCACTTGAGGTCTTTGGTCCACACGCCGCCGGGGTCCGCGTCCTTAATGTGCACAAATGGCGCCCAACGTGGGGCCCGATCCTGGTGACGAGAGCGACCGGTGGAGAGCCCAGCCGAAGGAAAAGCAAAGCAGTGGGGACCAAGAGCTGCAGCCCGGGCAACTGATCGCCGAGAACGAGGTGAGCGGCTGTGGACATAAAGATGGGATCACAGATTTCTGCAGAGGAAAAATCGGTAGTTCACATATTTAAGAAAATACTAGAGAAATGCAGAATTGTCCATGGTGAACACACGCTCTGCTTGCTACTTGCCTGGCTTAAAAGTAAAGGCGTAGCAGCAGATGCACAGACTGCATTTCTTATAGATACGTGCACTAAGTGGGGGGGAAGTTTTGTGAGATGCAGCCACCAAGGGCGATGATACCGCCACAAAGCTCCTGATGACATGGCGATTGGTTATGGACTCTTTAAAACAACTTCAGGCAGATGGTGCGGCTCAGGCAGCTGCGGTTGCAGCCACCACGCCAGCAGCGAACCTGTCAGGAAATGGCTTGGAAAGCAGGGTTTCACAACAGCACCAGTCCTCCCCCACGGCTCCTCTCATAGATCTGCCGGTTCACACTTCGCCACCCTGTCTCCTTGGTTTTGTAGCTCCTGTACAGCAACAAGCTGATCCACCACTCATCGACCTGAGTGGAGATGAGCTTCCTGTGGGTAGCGCAGTAAGCACAGTGAACTATGATCCTGTAGCACACTGGCAACGATTACGACAAAAGGCAGCGGCCGACGGGGAGACGGGAGTTGCTGGGGCCCTGGCTTGTCCTGTGATTATTCAAAACCAGCGGCCTAATGAGTGGCAGCCTCTGCAGTGGGATCTTGTCAAGGAATTGAGGAAAACGATAATTCAACATGGTCTTACCTCGCCGTTTGCTCAAAGTTTATTACAAAATGTAATGAAAGGACATTTGTTGACTCCGTTTGATGTGCAATCATTAGCCGATTTAATTTTTACTCCTACCCAGAAGGTATTATGGCAGGCGCATTGGAGAGATCTTTGCAATGCAGCATCTTTAGATAATTTAGGAAGACATCCAGGAGATCCGCTGGTAGGAGCAGGAATCCCACAGCTTATGGGAGAGGCACCCATTGCTACACCAGAGCTACAGGCAAGGCTAGCACCAGAAATATTGAGACAGTCGGCAGATCTTGCTTTTCAAGCCATGATAAAGGTCCCGGACACTGAAAAAGCAATAAAATCATTCACAAGCATCAAACAGGGTGCCTCTGAACCATATATGCAGCTTATAGATAGGCTGCAAGATGCTATTCAAAAACAAGTAGAACATTTGGAGGCAAAGGAAGCTCTAATGTTAAAGTTGGCAGTGGAAAATGCTAATGAAGACTGTAAAAAATCATTACGGACCTTATGAAACCCCACTCTCATAGAAATGATTGAAACATGTAATCGGGTGGGCTCACTCACTTATAATAATAAAGTGTTTGCCGCTGCACTAGCTACAGCCCTGCGAGCAGATAATCAAGTCTGCTTTCATTGTGGTAAACGTGGTCATTTCAAACGTAATTGTCCCCAAAGAGACAATCAAGCTTCACAAACAGCACAAGTAGCCAACCCCCAATTACCAGGAATCTGCCCTCGATGCCGAAAAGGCAGACATTTCGCCAACCAGTGCCATTCTAAACTCCATGTTAATGGTCAGCCATTACCAGAAAAAGGGAAATCGAGCGAGAAACGGAGGCACGCTCAGACACAAATGCCTCCGGCAACCAACACAACCCCAAATCTGTCGAAACATCACTCTCAACAGGCTTGGGCAGCCTCAGAGCAAAAACAGCTGGAAGTGCCAGGGTGGATGTTACCACAGCCGCCAGCACCACAATAACTGTGGCTGTGCACACAGTTCCCCTTGCGATTCAGGGCCCTCTTGGGAACAATTTAAGCACCTTATTGTTAGGCCATTCCAGCACCACGTCCCAGGGGCTTTTTGTATTTCCAGGAGTCATCGACTCTGACTTTATGGGACAAATCCAGGCCATGCTCTGGACTCCATCTCCCCCAGTTCACATCCCTGGATATGGAGCCAAATTGCCCAATTAATCCCCTTTTTAGGTGCTGTACCAAATGCAGAGCAGATAGCACGAGGCGATAATGGTTTTGGATCCAGCGGTGAACCACAAATCTTTTGGGCTCAGCAGATCCACACAGATCAGATCGGCCCATTTTGACTTGTCGCTTAAGAAATATAAATTCAAAGCCTGAACATATCTCACTTAAAGGAATGATAGACATGGGGGCGGACGTAACTATTATTCCCGTCTCTCGATGACATAGGATACAATGCGAGTCAGTATGGGACTTACGGGTACTGGGGGGGGTTCTAACTCTCGACAAAGTACCCATATCATTCAAGTCATCAGTCCAGAAGGACAAGCAGCAAACATCCACCCATTTATAGTAAACGTTCGTCTTAATTTGTGGGGGCATGATGTTCTTAGTACCTGGGGAGTAACCATTAGCACTTCCAACGGAAATTGACATTTTCAGAAGGGGCCACTGCAACTCGGCCTATTGTTCATCTCACAGGGCTTACAGAGAAGCCCATGTGGGTAGGTCAGCGGCCCTTATCGTCGGAAAAGGCCAAAGCCCTATGAACACTGGTCAACGAACAACTACAACAGGGGAACATTGTGCCTACCACCAGCCCATAGAATACACCTGTATTTGTTATCAAGAAGAAAAATGGTAAATGGAGATTACTACATGACTTACAACAAATAAATGCAGTAATTGAAGACATGGGAGCATTACAGCCTGGCATGCCATCCCCAACTGTTATACCTCGAAATTGGGACATAATTGTCATAAATTTAAAAGACACTTTTTTCACCATACCTTTAGCTCCTAAAGATGCGCCAAAGTTCGCCTTCTCCTTACCATCTATTAATCATCAAGCGCCCATGCAGCAATATCCTTGGACAGTGCTACCTTAGGAATGAAAAACGGTCCCACCATTTGTCAAATATTGGGGGCCGCGGTGGATTCCAGCCCATTGCACCCGCTCTTGTCTCTCAACTGACGGTTGATGCATCACTGGTTTGGTGTCAATTTGTGGGAATTAAATAAGATCAACTGACCCGGTTTTGGAGCACCACCCAGTGGAAATCACACTCCTGCTGGAGTGTGCTGTAGTTGGACCTTTGGACCACTTGCTCTAGACTGCGATCATTGTGATGTAGAGAGAGCGCATTTAGAGAATAGGCAGGAAGTGGCAATCCCGTGTCTCACCTGCTTAACAGGAAAACACCGTGCTTGGGTCTTATGTGAACGCGATCGTTGTGAGCGTTGTTGGTATCGTGACTTACGTGTTCGAGAGCAATTATGTAGAATCCAAGGGAGCGAGGGTTGTTAAGTTGGTGTGTAGAAAATCACACCTTATTCCACAAGTCTGGGAGGTCTGGGAAAGTGATTGTAAAACTACCAAAAGACAGTGTCAAAAACTACTTTGGTGGAAAAGAAAACAACATCAAAAATGAAGGGCATTTTTGGGCATTATATGATAATCTACTTTTTTGGGGCAAACGCAGTTAAAGCTGCTTTTGAAGCAAAGGCATATATAGCTCTTGTCAAAAGTGTTACAAAGTACACAACATTTTGAACTGTTGGGTCTGTGGGATGGCAGATAGTTTAACTCCCCACTTTTGGGCATTCCTTTGAGTAACTGGACAGACCTAAACCCACATGCCTTACACAATACACCCGATAGGTGCAACACCACAAATGTTACTTTAGAAGGAGTGCCTCTTACATTAACTATAGTCAATACCAGCTTATTATACTTTCAATATAATACTTCAACCACCTTGAACCTAGGAACCTTAAACCAGACAAGTGGTAACTAGTCAAAAATTGCTCTGCTTCTGACACTACATCCAGATCCTAACTTGCAAGGGAATTATACAAATGACACATGCAAACAACAGTGGGCTGATTACCTGTAGGGTAGAAGTAAAATGTAACCATGGCCATAAATGCTACTTGTAACCTGCCAGATGAATATTGGTGGCTATGTGGAGATGGCCACGCTAGAAAACAGTTACCAAAGAATTGGACTGGAGAATGTACCGTGGGAATCCTAGCCCCTCTCTTACAAGTCTTTGATCACTCACACTTACAAGGTATATTGAGGGGTACATGGAATAGAGTCAGAGAAAAAAGAGGCATCAATAATCCTTTGGCCCACGATAATAACGGATTCCATAGCTTTGTCAGGGCACTTGTTCCTACATTGGGGATTGTTCGGTTGGAACGAGCTATAATTAACATTTCAGCTGAAATGGAAATAATAGCCAATAATACTGCAGATGCACTTCTGGGGTTACAACAGGAGATAGATTCTGTAAAAAGGGTGGTTATACAGAATCACCTGGCTTTAAATATCATAACAGCGCAGATAGGAGGAGTTTGTACATTAGTAAATGAAAGCTGTTGTGCCTTTATACACCAGTCACAGCGAATTCTCACAGATGTCCAAGACATATGGAACCATGCTAGGATTCTCCATGAAGTTTCAAAAGATGATGAATTCTCTTGCTTAGACAGGATATTAAGTGGCTGGCTCCCATCAATTGTTAAAACTGGCTTATTTGTATTAGGTATATTTCTCTGTATTATCACTGTTATACCCTGTCTGTTAGCCTGTCTACAGAATATGATGCAAAGAATGATTCATCAGGTGGTGATTGTAGAAAAGCAAAAAGGGGGAGATGTGGGTAAAGATAATACTGGTTTGGTCGAATTTGACCTTGACGAGTGGGCCCTTCGTCTTTCACAAAAGAAAACCAAGCAGAAGGAACTTGCGGTCGGCAGGAAGTTGGCTGGCACAGCCACGGCCACAGCCACGGCCGCGGGGACAGGAAGAACCAACCAACCAGCCTGCTGCAGGAGCCGCGTGCGCCTAGGGCGATACCCTATCAGAATGTGTCCAACAGCGCATGACAGCTCAGCAGCGATATATAAGGTGAGCTTTTAAAGCACTAAAGGTCTTTGGTCTACACCCCACCAGAGTCCGTGTCCTTAATCTCCACAGGGTGGGCCACATCAGTTGGCAGCCGGTGGATCTGCCATAGGAGTTGTCCACCCGGTCGATCTCCTCAATGATCTTCATGAAGATCCCCTGGGTCACCTGGGGACGAGGGGACATGTCAACCCCAGTGCTGCAGGGACCCTGCGCCCAGCCCCGGGTGGGGGTATGGCCCCCCCTGCCCCAGACCTGGCTCTCCTTGGCCGAGGACTCGAGGAATATTGCCCCCCATGACTCCGCCAGCTTCTTCCCTTCATCCATCTTCACCTCCCGGCTGCAGACACAGCAGAGGATGGGTGGGATGGCACCAGGTCCTCAGGGAGGAGGGACAGGGACAGTGGGACAGGGACAGTGGGACAGGATGCCCAGAGCACCCTTACCTCTGCAGGGACAGGTCTGCCTTGTTCCCCACCAGCACTACAGGCATACTGCGGGCATGGGGAGGGTGAGGGTCCAGCCCAGCCTGGACACCCAGCACCCCAGGAGGGTCAGCACCTACCTCGTCTTCCCCCAGCTTTCACAGAGCTTGTTGTAAAGGGTCTTCACCACCTGGAAGCTGGAGGAGATGGGGAGATCCAGGCATTGCCCCTCCACCAGTGCCACACACACCCCACCCCACCCCGAGGGGACACATGTCCCCCACTCACCTCCGCAGGGATGTCCCCGGGTACACCAGGACGTAGCCGTGGATGCCAGCGATGAAGGAGTGGGGCAGGATGCTGTACTCATCCTGGGGAGGGCAGGGCCGGAGCATGGGGGGAGGGGGGGCTCAGGGTCCAGCAGCCCCGAACCCCCGCC